CGGTAGTGGAATGGGCCTCCGGCCGACTCGATTGCGATTGCCGTTTCGATTTCCAAGAGGGATTGGCGCAGTCTTTGCGCCGCTCCCGGAGCGCCCGCATCGGGTTGGAGGCGCGTCAGAACCTTGACGGCGTCTTCGCGGCGGTCCTGCTCGCAGAGCCACCGAGGCGTCTCTGGCAGGGGAATCATTTGCAGCACGAGGCAGATGGCGAAGAAGGATTGGAAGCTGATGGGCAGCCTCCACTGGATCGGGCTCTGCACAAAGCTAAGGCCATAGTCCATCCAGTACGCTATGCACAGCCCGACAATGGTGACGGTCCCCTGGGCCGAGAGCAGTCGGCCGCGATGTTTGGACAGCGCCATTTCGCTCTGGTATGCCGGCACGGTGCTGCTGTTGATGCCGTTTCCAACGCCCGTCACGATTCGTCCGACGATGAACTGCGCGACGCTGTATGAGGAGCCGAGTATCACGGTGCCTACAATCATGATGGTGCCGCCCGCCATGATCATTCTCCTGCGGCCGACGCGGTGGCCGCAGAAGAAGGCGAAGAGACAGCCGACGGCGCATCCTATGTCGTAGATGGACGTCACTGGCACGGGTTAGCTGGTTGTCGGTTTGCGAGGAAGCTGGGCCAAGTACGTACGGGTTCCTTGTAGGCCTGCGTCGGGGTGGTTGAACTGTTTGCCAAACTCGTTGTCGGCGCCGATGAGACCACTCATTACCCCCTGGTCGTATCCCAGGAGCAGAAATGCTTGGCAACTGGCAGCTAGACGCGAATATCAGCCCCGAGTGAGTTGCGAGCCGCGCGGTCGAGGACCTACCCGTCACGGCCCAATGCAGGGCCCTGCCGCGAATCGGATGCATCGGAGTTGCTGGTGCTTCAGACATGTGTTGCTGCCCCAGCTCGGTTCGGACGACGGGGGACCATGGCCGTATCTGAGCCGCGCCTTGCTCTGTTCGCTTTCCAGCGCCGTCGTGGACGCATCAATCTTTGGGCGATGCAAAAATGAAGTCGAAGATTGGCTCGCTTCGGGCGTTGTGGTGCTTCCGAGATTTAAGCGACCGGCGACTGGAGTCAAGCCTGGTCCCATCAAATGGGACCAGACCAGACCTCTTTCTCCCCAGCCCAAACGTCGGGTGAGTTTGTGCAACGAGGCGCCTTGATTTGCAGCGCAAATGGACTATGCCATGACATACAATGAACTCCAGTTCCCTGTGCTGATGACAGCCGCCACATCGACGTCTGCATGTGAATATTTCCGTTTCCCAATCCAACTCGGCTAACCCATGCAGGCAGAAAAAGCCGTCTGACCAGCTCAACACCCTTGGTGCGCCCGAATCTTGGCCATGGTGCCACCAGATTACGTCTACAGTGCCGTGCGTGCCTTTATACATCGTATTCTGCAACGTTGACAGTCTTTTCCCCATCGAGTCCGGTGCCTCCTTGATGGCCTCGCAGACGCGAGCTCCGCGAGCCCAGTCTCTGCTGTGCTTGGCACGTCTTCCAACCCCCCAACCGCATCGATCAAGTGCTGCAACTGCCGCTCAAATGGCGCTGCAATATCCACACGGATTTCTTGCCTTGTTATTTCCGAGTGCCAAGACTTTGGCTTGTCCCCATAAGACCACAGCGCCATGTCCAGCACACTTGGACATCCTTCCGTCCCGAATATGCGGTAAAAGTCTTGGCCGGCTTTCAATGTTGGGAATGGGCGGGTTTTCTTCAGAGCCGGACTCGAAATTATACGGCGACGGGGCGTAATCCGAAAGCAAAAACGTTTCCCACCGCTCCCGACTTGAACCGGAGCGTCATGGCTGCCCCTATGTCCATGATATTGCCTCGCTGACGAGGGATTCGATCTGCATAGACTTGGACTATGCGCCCCAGGGGAAAATGGAGGATGCCAATCTCGTGAATCATGTCGATGAGGATGGCGCCGCGGGCTTCGTCCGTCTCCATTCTGCCGGCGCCTGGAAGTAGTCGAGCAGCTTGTGCAATGCCCAGATCCCGTACCGCCAGTACGTCACCCAGCTTTCCTGTAGATATGACTTGTTCCGTTTTCAGGATATAGGGGTTGAATCGACGATGCTGCCCGACCAGGACTTTGCTCTTGGCCGAGAACGAGATCCTGCCCGCTGCCTACATCCGCGCTGACCGGCTTCTCAACAATCATGTGAATGACGCGAGAAGCAAACTTCGTTGCAAGATGCACGTGTGTGTGGTTTGGAGTACATATAATGGCTACATCGACTTGTTCGGCCGAGTTGAGGAGGTTGTCGACGCCTGTGTAATTGCTTACACTCAACTCGGTGGCCAAGGCGCTCCCAGCGGGCGACGAATCAACGACGGCGCAAATTTCGCCTCATTATTCTTCATGACCGTTTTTGCATGTCGGGGCCCAATGATTCCTGCGCTAATAACGGCGATCGGAGCTGCCGAGATGCTCAGGCCAAATGCCATGTTGCACGTGGGATGAGCCTGACGAGTCAATGGCCAAGCGATTGCGTATGTTGCACCAAATAGTTCAACGTTTCATGATAAGTTTCACGGAATAAAACTATGCATCAATCTCCGAGGCTACTACCGCCGAGATTTGGTGCCGTGGCTAAATCCTCTTCCTTGGTGAGGGATTCCAGGCCTGTGATATTGTGCGGGCGGATGAAGCTTTACCCGTAAACGTACGCATTCATGTAGGGTAGGTTGCCCTCCTTGAAGGATTGCTTTGATAAATCAGAAAACCCAGTTTAAAAAACAGCATGTATCGTAATTCTTATCATTAATAATGTCTGGTCTTCTAATATGTGGGTAGGTGTGCTTATGCACTTGATAGATTGGTTGATCGTGGAGTAAACGACGTGTCACTAGGAGCAATATCGTGTGCGTATGTGTGCACTTGACTTTATCTCGCACCTGCTGATAAAATCTACCAGCCCTCTTGGCACACCCAGTGCCTTGAATGTATGTAGATCAAGAAAGTTCTTTCTATGTATAATTATTGTCAGACTAGCACAACCGCCCATCGTGAGTACCAGTACAGCCGCAGAGGCTATATCTGACCGTCCGAATCGAACAAGTCACCCGATACTCGCTCAATCGGTACTGTTAGACGATGTGCTAATGGCAGGCATGGTTCGGCTTGGACGAGACTATCACGATTGTCTGCTATCGTACTATGGTTGTCCTCAATACTTGAGTGCATATTGAAAATGTTTTTTTTTATCATAACTGTACTAAAGCATATCAACTACTTGGGTATAGGTAAAGACAGTATTATAATTATTTCTGCTCTTATATCAAATTAAGTATATAAGTATTAAATATAAGTTATATATAAAGTTTAATTATTCTGAATCTATTATAATTATAAATATCTTGTAAGATTTCACTTAAAGATGTGTGTTGGATAGAAATGGTAAATTGGGTGGTTTGAAGATAGGAAACCGCTGTCGCAGACGGAGCATGCTTTACTAGTAAAAAGAAGAGCTTTGTATGAATTTCACCACACGGCCACGAATCTACAAGAATTAAGGCCGCGGAATCTAACACATGTGTCCATCATGCAAATACCGCTTCTTCGGCAGAGGTTCCGTGCGGCTCAGCATTCGGTGAACGAGACAATGCTAACGATTCATGACGTGCATATACTAGGATGAACTGGGACAAGTTTGTAATTTACTTGAACCTTCTAGAAAATAGAGAATGCGGCTTTTATCGGGATTATAGCTGACCATGTCCGGACAGGTACATGTACCAATACAACGGCTCACTTTTAGCTTTACCAGGGTTTGTCATACCGCCCATGTCTTCTCGTGTTGAGAGAAGTTGATATCAGGAGGAGTCACATACCGAAGCATCACTCAATAGACAATGAAAGGCAGATAGCCAAGGGCCTCAAGCTTACATGCCAAGAAATGTCTCATACGATCAATGCTAAACCTATTGTGCTTAGTTATCATCGATAGTCTGTGCTATCTAATGCTGAATCATGCAGTCATTCCACTTGGTATTTTTGGTACGAGTCCCATGTCCCGGTCTTGTCACGGAAACTCGGTCATTTTGCTAACCATGCTAGAATCTAGCATGACTTGAGAGAGCATAATATCCGTTGTGGATTTACATTATATGACACTTGCAACGGTATGAGATTGGTCCAGGTCTGAATATTTGGCTATATTTTATGCAAATAGTCGAATAGTCGACGGATTTAGTACCGGCCCTATCATAAGATGACTTCTGTGTTAATAATTGGACAAATACCGGCCGGTAATTTGGGACAAAGTGGGCCAAAGATAGCGTTTTCATCAAGGACCAAGGCCACGTCATTGCCAGAAGTGCGAATAACGACTATTGCTTGGCCGGAAATATGCGGTAAAATGATTATGGCTACCAAAATTTGGCTTAACTTGGAGAGCCGGTTGGGATGCTTTAGGTGGCTGAGCCCTGGGGACTGGGGTACGCATGATATCCAAGGCGCGGTCGTCCCATGGCACACAGCTTAGCCTTACGAATAAAAGCGCGCTGCTCGGGAGTTGTTTGAATCCCATACTATTCAGGTATCCATGTAATAGTAACGAAATAGGCAGGGGGTTAGCGGGAGGCGGAGCCGGCCAGGGGAAGAGAACTATACTAGAGCAAAGGCTAAGTTACCGGCATAATTTTGCTTATTGAACCCTATGGGGCTGTACAGTAGGTAATGCCCGTACACGGCTCTTGGCACCCGGTACCAGACGTTCCCTCAAGGTTCTCTGGGTCAGGATCTCTAGCTCCGTCTGATGACGAGTTGAGATGTCGGTCGAAGGAGCTGGTTTCATTCAGGTCAACGTAGTCTTGGAAACAAACCATCAGCGAACGGTGGCATGATAAGTGTATATAAAGCCTTTGTCAACCCCCCAAAATACTTGGAACTGCATCTCCCATCTCAACAAAGCAGTCCTACAACACCATCACCTTGCTTACTATTTCCTACACCACCACCAACAACTCTCGTACCTCGTTCGAAATGAAGACTTGCACAGCTCTCAGTCTGGCATTGGCGTCTGCCGCCAGTGCCCACCGGCTTACCGCTCGTCAAGGCGTCACGGCCGATGACTTTGCCGTCCAAACTCTCAAAAACATTGAGAGCAATTTCAAAATGAATGACGCCAGCTTGCCCAAGCTCAATGTTACCAAGGAGTGGCAGCACATCTGCTTTAGCAACTTGAATTACGGAGAGCAAGTTTCCTTCTTCAAGACCGGGACCATCAGACGCGACGACATCCTAGACGCAAAGGCCTACTACATTGCCCACGTGGAGACGACGGCAGTCAATCCGGGCCCGGGCAATAAGGCCAGCAAAATGACCATGAGCAGCTCCACCACCACGTCCCAGGTGGACACCAAGGGCTGGACAGTCGGCATCAAGCTCACCGGCACCGTTAGCACCGGCGTCGTGCCAGGCGCCCCCTCGGCAAACGGCGGCGTCGAGATCTCGGGATCCTACACCGACACCACGATGAAGACGGATTCCACGACCAAAACCGTCACGCGCGAGGAGGAGTGCGAAGTCGGCTACGAGTGCCGCCTCGAAACGTGGACGTTCCACCTGGATATCCACGCCAAGCCGAGGGTGGACGGAGCTTTCCAGCTATGGGATCTCGTCAACGGCTACGGCAAGGAAATCCCGACCTGCTCCATGCCCAAGAACTACCGAGGCTGCACGCAATTCACGCAGAGAATCGACGAGTGGTGCAAGGAGGAGACGCTCCCCGGCGGCGCCATCTACATCCCCGCCAAGCAGGAGGAAGTGCACATCAAGGCGCCCGTCTTCGAAGCCAACGGCTACCAGACCTTTACCCGCATCGTCAAGGTGTTCAACCCCATTGTCAAGAGCCAAAAGGCCCGCGCGGCAGAGCCCACCATTGGAACCAAGGAGACCGTCATGGAGGCCATGAAGCAGGGCACCAAGTTCAAGTTTCTTGACTAAGCGGCTGCTGTAGACTCGGCCGACTTGTGCAACCGTCGACCGTCGACGCTTGCTGCGGGCTGCGGCTCCAGCCCAGACCAGACTATTGTTGTTTGATTAGATTGTGTTGCTTTTGCCCATGCTGCCGCTTGGACAACTAGGATGATGCAAGAGCAAGGAGCTCTCGCGGGCTTGCTTTCCGTTTTTTCCTTGGCTCTTGATAGACAAACACTCAGGTAGCATTGGAAATAGACATTCCGTTTGTGTATTCAAAATTGTCTCATTTATTGGTATTAGTAATAGTAGGCCTACAGCGGCAATAACAGCTATTAGCAAAAGTACCTCTATTCGAGCTTTTGTATGTTGGCGGCCCACGTGCAACGTTGATATGGTCATATCCTTGTTACCACACCCCATATATTTTTATATTAGAACACGTGGGAACCACGATGCGGTTTTGATTACGATGTGTTTTACAGCCCCTGGAATAAACCATACGTCGTGCACCCGGCGTTAACTGCCGCTTTCCTTGTTTCCTGTAGTAATAATGATTGTCCCTTAAAATGGCGTTTTAAGCGAATTGGCCCTTTTGATACTGCCGCCGCTTAAGGCCGTTGAACTTGAGAGCCAAAAATACGAAATTGCCCGACGCCCTTATTAAGGCAGGCCCGTTACCACGGTTTTGTGCGTAAAACACACCAAGGGGTACATGTACAGATATCGGCCATTTAGCTGAATTTGGTTAGTAGTCATGTATACTACAATACAGCGCCCTCTTGGCACACTAAAACACCAGGCCAGACAGCTCAGAGTAGACGTACTCGCAACGCAAGGCGCGTTCCGTTTCCTCTTATCTCTACGCCAGGCTCTTCTTTTTTCCCGTTTTACATGAAGGGTGTTAGTACCTGCAGCCTCAGCCGCATGCGAGAGCCCCGATTGGCCGCCGTTGTCGGGAGGGGCCGAAAGGGGTAGGGAGACCGGCTTTGTCAGCCGGCTCAACACATAGCTAGAAGATAACAATATGAATAACAACCTGTTGAACCCGATCCCTCGGTGACGTATGCACACAAACAGCCCCTGGTGCTACCCACAGAGAGCAAGAGCCATAAGAAATTGCAAATCACCGTCGATGACTGAGTGGAAGGATTGAGGAGCCAATCGTGGGTTCTACTCATGGAATACATGGCTCGTCAAGCACTGAATGCGCAGGAGTCCAAGCTGGGTCCATGTGTCCGGTCTAGCAAAGAAGGTCAAGTCTATCTGCTCTACTCTAAGCTGCATCGCCTCGCGTTCTTGATCCACTGTAGCCACTCGCCCTCGTGTAGAATGGAGCGCACCCTAGCCTGCAGCCACGTCGTATTTCCCCAGAAACCCCACGATGCCTGGAACCTGCACCAGTCAACCAAGGCAGTCTCCCAGTGCCGCTGGAACTCAATCCAGTCATATACCGGTGCATGCATAACACCTTCCCCCTGGAGCAATTCCCGGCGATACTGGAGCAGAAGATGGCGCTCCCCGTCGCCCATTGTCAAGCGACGAGGCTCGCCCGTCGACGCAGTCAGCATTTCCACAGGCACCGAGCAGGTAAAGAGCTTGGCCAGGTCGCAAACCCCGAGCCCCAGGCCGGTATATTGAAAGTCGAAGAAAGCGACCTCGTCTCCACTTTCGGTAGAGAACAAGTTCTCCGACTTTACATCCCCATGGAGATATGTCTCAACGTCCCGGCCCGTCGGTGTCAAAAAGAAGGCGGCCAGTTCAGCAACCGACATTGACGTGCCCTCGACGGCCTGACAAAACGTCTGGGACCATTCCGAGCCGCCATCTTGCGCAAGGGCATTGTACTCGCTCCGCCGGGTAGCGAGATATGTATACCCCCCGTTGAGCCAGAGCCCTCTTTTGGTCGACGAGTTGCTCGGCTGCTGCTGTCTCGCTTTGCCCTCCTCGAGCGGCGGGAGAATCAGGCTCTGCGCATCAGGCCTCGGCGACGTCCAGTAGCTGCCGTGGAAGCGAGACAGCCAGCCAAGCGCGGCGTGGACCTGCCTTGGGGACAGGGCCGTCCGCTTTTCCCCTGCAACGGGATAGTCGAGTCGCAGATCCGTCAACACCGAAGCCGTCACATGTTGCAGGCCGGCGGCGGCGGCCTTGTGTGGGAACTTTGACGTGGACACTAGACACTCTGCCAGTGGGAGTCCGCGCAGCGTGGGAGCGACGTGGTCGTAAAAGTGCTGTTCTACCTGGTAACTCAGGACTTTGCGCAGATGGCCCTCGTCGTTGCGGCCGCGAGGCGGCGACACGAGCTTCAGGATGAGAGAGTGTGTGGCGCGTGTGGTCTGGGCCGGCTGCGCAGACGGCAGCGGACGGCAGCGGATGGCGCAAATGTGTCCGTATCCCGCCCAGAGAGTCTGGAGTGTGTTGCAGGAGATGAGCTCGAAGCCAATCCACGACAGCAGCTCTTTGGCCACGGCTTGGGGCTCGGGTTGTTGACTCATCGTCGGGCTTTTCCATGTGGCTCGAGGTCCGAAAAGCCAGTCGGCCGTGAGGGAGGCGGGTTGCGGGTAGCCAGCCGGATCAATTGATGCCGGGTGGAGATTGGCAAGTGGCTGGGGTCAATATTGCCTGTTGTTGAATGTTGGTAGACAAGGCGATTGGCGTTGTAATTGCCGCAAGCCGAGTGCTTGGCAGATGGACCAGGCTGAGGTTCGTCCATCTTGTCTTGGCGCGCGTGGCTCAGCAGGCCGGCCAGCTGGCGTCTCCACTCCCAACCCGGCCCGGGCCTGATGGTCTTGACTCTTTCAATGTTTGATTCAATCAATCTTCATCAGTCGGCTTGCGCTCCTTGCTCGCCGTGCTATACCCGGATACGACTGAAACCTGGGTCAGACGGGGCGAGCACGTAGCCCAAGTGGTACTTGGACCGTGGATCCTGGCTCGCCCTTTTCTGGTCCCTTAAATTGTCTCCCGCGGCATTCAATATTCGTGTCCCGCGCGCCAACACAAGGGCACGCCATCAGGCATCGGCTATTGGCTTCAATGTTCTGCGCCTGCCAAGCCGTCGATGTGTCTGTCGCTGCGCATCACCGCTCCAAGCGCTAGTGCTGTCTTGACTCAAGAGGCACCTCGGCTGTGACTTCAAGTCTTGCCTGTACCCAGTCTGTATGCTACCGCGGGCAATACATCATGGATACTTTCTCTCGGCCGTCGTCCGCGGGTGGTGTCTGGTGTTCCAACGCCGAATCGGGGCCGAGGGACACACCACGTGGAGGCGGCTGTGAAGACGTGATTTATGCGGCGGGGATACTCCAGGCGTTTCATGAATCATGAGTCCACGGGGCATGGGGCATTCCCATGGTTCTGGGGCAAGCAATCGGCTGCCGGCGTATACTTGCCCTATATTATAGCGTTAATGCCCGTTGATAACTGCACATGTGTGCATCGAACTTGTGTTGCCTGCCTGAGAATGGCGACAGGCAGTGGGAGTCGCATCAAGAGTAACACAGGGTTGACGTGCATCGTTCGCTTCTTGCATAAATAGAGTTCCTTGCTCATCTGTCACACAGCCATTCGAATGACCCTCAGGAATATGGTAAGTACCCGATAACCGTCGTGACACTGGTCAAGTGTACAACTTGTGTCATATTCAAAGTCAACCAGATGGTCAAATCATATCTTCTAGTTGAAATCACGTCTTTGCAGTTACAAAACTGGCATATTCCCCCCCACCAGGGCCAGTTCCACGGCTATACTCTATAGCCGCCGGGAATAATACCACATGGCTGCATTCAAAGACTTGTGTCGCCACAGCTGCTCTGATATGTTGCCGCCTGACTAACAACATACGGCTCAAACAAGTAAAGCGGCCAGTTGGCATCATCCCGGCTCACCTTGGCCAGAACCTTCCATTCCCCATTTCTCTTCTCAAAAACGTCGTCGTATGTTCCTGTGCTCACGACGCCCGTAGTGTTGGCTCTCCAGTCGACTCTCCAGTTCCAGTGCACGTACGCCCGCTCATTTCCCCCGGCACTGTTATTTGATAGTGGCGAGGGATAGTTTGGCAACGGGCCATCGGATATCTCGAAAGCGCCCACCGAGTGGCGCCACCGCGAAAGCGGGAAGACAGAGTGCGCGTAGTCATAGTTTGATCGGATCTCTCGTTCGCCCGTCATGGTGGCATCACGGTTGGGATCTAGGTACTTGTTAGCTTTCTGCCGAGCATCAGCAAATCGAGGGGAGGCGCGCGTGTACCAATGACGCGGAAACTTCCTTCGGGCCAGTACAGCGAAGCATAGAGCTTTGCATTGTCGCAAGTGAGGCTGTGGTCAATGTATGACTGGTGCAATGAGAGTTGTTCAAAAATTGAGAAGCGATCCGTTGGGGTGAGCAAGCCAACCGTGCAAGCTGGATACCACACGAGCAGCAAGCAAAAGAAATGATGTAGACGCAACATGGTGTCGGCAGATTTTTTCTTCGTTTTCAGTGAATTCTATGAGTTACTTAGACTGTTATTTTGTTGTTGGTCGAAAGCATCCCGGTGGTTTATTTTATAATACATATTTCAGATCGTGATACATTGATGGTGTTTGCTCTTTGGAGCTACGTCACCCAAGGACAACCCGACCCGGGATTAGTCAATGCTCTATAATTCTTATAAACAACATTTGAAGATAAAGAGTTTCTTGGCACGGCTTATTTATGCCTCAATTTTCGTATTCATCCATGAAATTAGAGTTTGTTTAGTTTGTGCGTGCTTTGTTTAAGCAGCGCAGTAGTATCAGATGGGCGCTGGAATTTCGGACTCGACGTTTATTCGTTGAAACATTGGAGACCTGGCTTCTGTACTATATCGGATCGGAACTGAAGCTTATTGGCTAGAGCTGCGCGATGTGGTGGACATGCTGGGCGGTCGGCCTGACTAGAGATTCACTACTCGGAACTATATTTTAGCGTGCCAAATGGGAGCTGTACTTTATGACTATCCCAGGCCGGAGAAGAGTCTGACGGGGTTGATTGCCAAAGACACCAAGAGGGGCATTTCCTGAGATTCAAGCAGTGGATATCTTGCATATTCTGACAAATCGACGTTGCATTCATCTCCATCAAGTCCACCATTTGTTCTAGAATTTCAAAGTCAATGTTGGATTTCCGAGGAGGCCCGTCTTGACAGGCTGATGAAGCATTTATCAGGCTTACGCTGTATTCTCCTCCGATGAATGCGTCACCGTATCCCCTTGGCTATAAGGCTATTTGTAAAGAAGCCATCCACAAGAGATGCCCCCGCGCTATAATAATAGGCCCATTGTACCTACCATTCAAGTAGCCTGTCCAACGTATAGATTCCACTTTGTAATAAGCTTAAAACACAACATGACTGTGCGGACTGTCTCAACGCTAGCCTTGGCGGCTTTCAATACCTTTGTTACCGCATCCGCAAATGGCGCCACGCAACCTTTTGATAGCTGGTCGCACGGCCGTGTTCAGTTGGACGACGTGAGCATACATTTTCGATACGCGGGGTCTGGCCCGCCGATGCTACTTGTCCATGGCAACCCTCAGCATAGCGTACGTGTACGAGGGAATCTTTGCAGAGCAGGTGTTGACGATTCGATATAGTATACGTGGCGCACGATTGGTCCCATCCTGGCAAACCAGTACACCGTCATTGCTCCCGACAACCGCGGCACGGGCGATAGCTCAATCCCCGAAGACAGCAACTACAGCTCCGAGGCCATGGCAGGCGACCTGAAGGGACTTCTTGACTTTCTGAAAATCAACCAGACTTTAGTCTTCTCCCACGACAAAGGTTCCGGTCCCGCCGTTGCTCTTGCTGCCCAGCATCCAAGTCTGGTACCTGCTCTGGGCGTTTCCGAGTATTTGCTCCCTGGATTCGGCTACGAGGAAAGCAGCTGTCCGTCATCAACGTGGGATCTATACTCTAATTGGCAACTTGCCTTCTTTAGCGTACCGGATGCGGCTGAGTTCTTCATCCGAGGAAAGGAGAAGGAAATGCTGGCCTGGTACTTTTACCATCAAAGCTACTCGGGTAACGAAGCCATACCGGAGCCGGTACTGCAACGCTACGCCAGCAGCATTAGCAAGCCAGGCTTCCTGCGCAGCATGCTGGGGCCCTTTTCTACTGCGAGCGTGAGAGCAGACAGGAAATTTTTCACAAAGGTGCTGGGGGACGCACCTTTGCAGATGCCAATGATTGCGATTGGGGCAGAAGCTAGCTTTGCTCCCGAGAGCACGATACGGGAGGTATGGGGTCCTGTTGCGTCCAACTTGACGGTAGATATTACGCCTAAATCTGGACATTGGATCGCCGATGAAAACCCGGAATGGGTTGCTGAGCGTTTACGGGAGTACTTTGGCGGCATCAGGGGGAACATTCAGCCAGCGGATCTGTCATGGCTGAGCAATAGAACTACACTTGTTTAGAGTAACACAGAACGTCACGCATGAGCACCTTAAGGTTGAACTCGGAATTGCTTGCCTGCCCAATTTTACACGTATAAGTTGGCCGCTGGCTGCCTCATATTAATCACAATATAGAGAACACGTGTGACAAGGGCTTGGTAGAGGGCTTGCAGCAGAAGTGACTCGATTCAAAGATAATCTCCTAGGGTGTAGCCACAGGTCGGCATCCTGGATTAACTTCCCCAAGAACCCTTCGAACCCAATGACAACTATTAGATTAATTTGCTGCTATTCACAAGCCCTCATCAGAAGTCCTTGTCACAGCAGGAGCACCTCTAGTGTAATGCCGTGCTCGACAAACTCGCAGAAGAATAATTACAAGACGCAATGCCACAGAGATTTTATGTAGAAAATAATTACCTGAAATAGGAGGAAATGGTACAAAGCCTCCCCTAGAGAGTGGTCCAAGGCTATAGCTTTGATTGACGTGCTACCATTGGGACACTACGAAACGAATTTCATCATTTTTGCACAGCTCTAGAGTGACTAGTATTCAAAGATGTGACAAGGGCTCAATGAGGGCCTGTGAAAGACTTCAAATTCAATCTGATAGTCGTCTTTTGGGTTCAAAAGGCCCTTTGGGAATTCAATCTAGCGCCCTGACCTTTGACCCATCAGTCATCTAGGTCATAACTGCCCTGGGCTCTTATCCTTGACAGCCTGATACCACCTCTTGACCTCCTTGTGGCCCGTCACGATGCACCCAGCCTGCCGAGGCTAACACAGCATCCGAACACACCTACACGGCATACAGGTTAACTCAAACTTCTCAACCCTACGGCGTACCCGGACCGATCTAACGGCAGGCCGGCTGCCTAATAGCTTAGGCCACCGCGAGACAGAATTACCTTGTATACCGTGTATTTTTGCTTGCTGTGTACGGATTCCGTGTTAGCCTCGGCAGGCCGGCTGCCCGTTGTTGCACAGCCAAGTCGTAATAAAACCTCAAGGTGTAGGGATATCCAGAAGTACATGATCCTTTTTCTCGGGCAAACAAGATAGAATAAACGAGGACGTTGCTGCTAGTCGGACCATCACCGCCCGTTCGCTACGCCTCGCGCTGTGCTCGTCTGGAGAAGGGCATGAGACTGTACATCTACACCATAGCCATCGTGCTGCCCGTCGCAGGAAAAGCCGAATCTTCTAGTGCAGCACATGTGAGGTTTCTGGTTCTCCTCTCCATCGAATGTCTATCGTTTATGCACATTCTTGCGCTCGAAACACTGTGGCTTCCCCGAAACTATCATGCCATTCGAAACATTGGAGCTACCTGGCAAGTGCTGTCTTGAGCCACTGTTCCAGCCCACTCATCGCTCGACGAGGCAGACCCTTGTATCTTTTATCATTGTACGTGTCCTTGAGCGACTGTTGGAGCCGTTTCGCCCTGTTGATTGATATCTTGTTTGCCCCGGATGGATTTTCCTTTTGCAACAATGCATTCGCCTCATTTTCGAGCTCCAACCGCTGTTTCCGCAAAGCCGGTCCATCCGCCTCCTCTGCTGCGCAAAGCGCACAGTGGCATTTGAACCCCCATGTCCTTTGGATGGCTGCCGTCCTCGAGTCGTAGTCGCTAGACTCGTCATAGCTGTGCGTTATCTCCTCGCCAGCAGCGATCCGACGGGTAGCACGGAGGAGCATCAGGTCACCCACATAGTCCTTCTTGGCGTTTGAGACGCAAGAGTGGTTGATATACGCTGCACGCACCCAGAGTCCTGTGCTGGCGTTCGTGACATCTTCGTCCTCGGTTTGTTGACCAGGACCGAAGGCGTTCCGCTGGACAATGTCGTGGATCTGGAAAGTGTCAATTATGGGGTTGCCGTCTTGCTCGAGGAGTTTGCCGCCGAGACTCTTATAGTCGCTGAAGAGATCCAGGACCTTGTGAGCCTGCGAGGGATTGTTCAGCAGGTTCTGCACCACGGCTTTGTGCAAGCCAGCAGGGAAGACGCGGATTGCGGCGTCATCCCGGACATCGCATGTGAGGGTGGAAAATGCCCCGCGCTCGTGGCCCCAAACAACGCAGAAGGCCTTCTCGCACATGATGGTCTCGCCAGGTTGAAAATCACGTCTGGCGAACAGACCGCGACCAGCTCCAGGGCTCTCCTTGACCTCGGTGTCGCCGTTGAAGCTTGCCGCGTCGGCGCGCCCCTGAGTTTTGGGCAGGTTGCTAACAATCTTGCTCAAGTCGTATACTCCAGTGGTTTGCTCTTGGATGCGCTTGTTGATCCGCCTCAAGTTGATCTGTGCCAAGCGATTATCGGGCTCAAGTTTTAGCTGTTCGTCAAAGAAACGTTTTGCATCCTGGAAATCGCCTAGACTGTAGGCGGCGGTGCCAGCACGGTAGTAGGCCTTTGCATCCAAAAGCTTCTCATCCGGGCCATCGCTATGAGTCACAGATGAGAGTGCATCAGACCTTGCCTCCTCAAAGCGCTGAAGCAGAAGGTTGATGTAGGCTCGGTTCCGGTGGAGGTCGTTGCTCAAGGTATTGCTGGCCTCATCATCTTTTCCAATGTGACTCAAACCTTCGGTATAGCGGGCATGAGCCCGTGGAAAGTCTTTCTTCCCAAGTGCAGCGTTCCCTTCCTCCTTGCACATCACAGCCGTCCTGACTGTGGACACCGAATCACTTTCCGTGTTGCGCCATGACTCTGGACCATCGCTATATGTGGAAATAACAAGGTCTGACGGATGATCAATGCGGATTACAGGCTCCCCCTGGCTGTTGAGTGTGTAATATGGCTCCTTGACTAGAAAGACGGAGCCCAAGTCTAGAAGTTCCTGACCGTACTTGGACTTGTGCAAGAAAAGCTCGATCCGCTCTACATCGTCAACTGACTGTCCCTGCATAACCGCCCAAGAGGACGCCTTCAATGCGACCACGGGGGACGCACGGCGCACTTTGAGAACACGCCCGCGATGGTGCGTCTCCATACACAGATCTGACAGTCCCATGGGCTTGAGGTCCGACAATGCCGT